TGTAGTACTTGTATTTGGAATTTCACCTTAAACCAGCTAACCTTGAACGGGTGCTTGGTAGTACCAGCATTTTCCTTCTTGAACCTTTGCTTTTATGGGAATAATACTTAGCTAACAATACCTCCAGACCTGTTAATTTTGAACCTGAGTGCCTGCCTTGCCTGTGGGAGAAGCCTGAGTCTCACTGAAAAGATGAGCAGTGCCCTTGAAATCTTCTTAATTTAAAAATTGTCTTGTCTCTCTGTATCTCCTCTTTTTTTATCCTTATTCTTTCCTTGAACAGTTTTGTCTTCTTCTAAGGTCTCAGAATCAAGAGAAAATAAGTGAATTAACCTGGTGTAATGGACGAATGATTGACTACCATGGTGTGAACTGCTCAAGGACAGATGAGGAAATAAAGGAAAAAATAAAATTTGGAGTTTGAGGACAAGATGAGAACGCTGTTATTCATCTGCTGGATTTGATTTTTGTAAGACTCACATCACTTTATATATGTAAGAAAGATAGCAGCTCTGTGATCATTGTACTGATGGTTAAGAAGGGGATAAAGAAACCAAAAATATATGTATGTATTTTAATCTTCCCAAGTTAGTGATAATGTGCCTACTATCCTACCCATTACTCACAAATAATATTCATGTCTGTATAATATTGTCACAGGCCAAGGGAGGGAGAGGAGTACAGCTGGCTGAGACATAGTCTCCCCTGTTGTCTGCTGGGTGGTCTGCCTATAGCCGCATCTAAAGATGTGCAGGGAAATGAAAGCCCGATGCCCTGCGTGCTTCTGTGTTTCTTTCACCCTGGCTTAAGTGCAGAATGAGCGTCCAAATGATTCAGTTTTTAAGCACTGGTCCCATGATGTTCACAGTTCAGTATCTTGGTTGAGATTTTCTTTAGCTAGTTGAGTGTTCAGCACTCTCCCACACTGGCCATTTATCTGCCTCATCTTCTGGCTCCAGGAGACAGTTTCTTTCCCCCTTGCATATGCCAGGAATTCAATATGCATATGACACCAGTCTGATCATATAATTTTCTCTTGCAGCAGTCCAACAGACTGGGAAAAGGGCCAAGGAAATTTAAAAAGGAAAAACAGAAAACAAGACAAATAAACGAAAAGGCCAAAAAAACACTTAGGAATTCATGATGCCAAAGCAAGCAGCAGTGCTGCTGGCACAGCTGGCACATAGCAGATAGCAAGACACCAGAAGTGGTAAGGTCCTCAGAAGCCAGTGCTCATCTGCATGTCAGCAGGCAGCAGGCACCACGCCTACAAACGAGCTAGTGGGCTTTGCTCCTCTTATGCTCGTGCTGCTGAAGCAAAATGGATGGTCTTCATCCCTGCTAGCAGCACCGTCCCACCCACCTGGGGACCATGGGCAGCATGGCTTTTGAGGCACGAGCGGCAGGACCCGCCTGCCTTGCACACTCACCACTCCTTGGGCTCAGTTCAGCACTGGAATGTGTCACTTGATAGACCTTGCAAGTTGAGAAGGTCTTTAATTTTGACATGGTGTTAAGTTTATTACAACCTGGTGAAATAAGTCACTACCAAATCCATAGCTCTGCCCTCCTCCTTTCCCATGTGTTTTCATGAACGTGAAAAGTTTAACCTTTCAAGTAAGAGTCTTTTTAAAAAATGTGCAGTGCTAGAGCAATACAATATATCCATGGTATGAAAGGACACAGTTCTCGGGTAACTACTGCCTTTAGCTAGCAGTAACAAATCACAAGCCCTTTAAACGAAAGCCCAATCTATTAAAAGTACTGTTGTGCTAGGGGACCAGAAGACCGAGGTAATATAAAAAATCTAGGGCTTGCTACTGCAGAAGTACTGAGACCTCTTGAAATCTGAGTATCCCTGAACCCTTTGATTTAAAAGGGCGCTGGAGAAGTTTAACTCTTCATAGAACCTGCGCAGAAATTTTCTATCTTGAATCTGGGATGAGACATATATCCAGTGGCTTCAAAGGGTTTCTGGCGGAGATAAAGTCTCCAGACTGGGATTTTTATTTTTTTACTTTTAAGAATCAAATTGTGTAAATAATTTTGTTTGCAGATTTGTTCCTTCCAAGACTTTTAGTAGGACTACTGACTACTTTTCAAGTCACCTGAACAATCACTATCTATAACAAGATACTGCCAGATAATATTTATTCCTTTCTCCCAGCTGGGTGGGGAAATATTTTATCCTGACATAAACATGTGTTTAGCCTCCATTATCTCCTGCCCTTGGGGCTAAACCTGTAGTCCAAAAGGTAGATATTCTCAGGTTTCAGTTGAATTACAGTAATTTGTTTGCAATCTTATCCAGCAAGTTCAAAGATGCCATTTTATGCTTGTTACAAAATTGGCTGCTTGTTGCAAAACTGGCAACCATCCTCAATTTAATGACATCTTTCCATTGATTTCAATGCCTTTTGGATCAGGCCCTCGCAATGCAGGGTATGTGGATTATTATTTCTTCATATTACCCTGGACAGTGAAGACTATAATGTTCTGTGAGTGCTTTACTGAGGAAAGAGGCATAATAAAATAGTGAATGTGACTTATTAAAGAAAATCTTTGTTCCATTTCAATACAAATCTGAGGCTTTATATCTAAAGCGCATTCGGGTGTTAAGGCTGGAAGACCTCCTGGTTTACAGCCGCAGAAATGTAGGACTTTGGCCGTCAGTGAAATGCTCTGATACCCAGATGAAAGGATCTGACCTTTTTTCCAGTTGACTGTTAGTTCATATATATTAGACAAGCACCCATATACTAAGTGATCCTGATCAAGGATTCATTGGCTATCTTAAATCATACTACTGCTATCAACTCTAATCCTAAATCTTCTTTAAGTCCTATTAAAACATGTGGTTTATTTATTATGAATTTGGCTATAATTGGAGAAATTACTTATCGCTGTCAGAAGTGAATGTTTGCATTCCACCCTATCGGCCTTTTGTGTCAATGCTTCCGACACAGGAGGAGGCTGAGGATCATTTTGAGCACTTTCTACTTCCAGATTACCTGGGAGAAGGGGCAGAGACAAAAGCACAGTGCTACGGGGCAGGGGGGTTGGGACTGGGGAGGTTGGCTACATTGTACCTAAGGGCTGTTAGAGCAAAGCCTGGGAGTCTAGGATGCTAGGTGCCAGTTAGAGCAATCCTGCTGTTTTCTCGATAAATATGTAAATGATTTACATATGTAAAATATGACTATGTTGTATCTCACATAGGCCAGTGAAAAAGAAGAGTTTAAAATTTAGGCCCTGCTGAAAAACAAAGGCAGGGAAGGAGCTGACAAGAGTAGCAAGATTAACCTTGTTTTGCCACTATTTTGCAGCATGTTACTGAATGACAGTTCACATGCAGCTTTTACAGCCATCCCTGTTAAATATTATGTTATTCCTACCTCCAGCTATCTGGGTACATTTTTTGGTAAGAATAACTGTTTTGGTTTTTTTTCTAATGAAAGTAATATATAGCATCCAACAGGTATGTGGATAGCTAAACTTACCTAAGGTTTAAAAAATTTAATGTAATTTGCATATGAAGTCAGCAGAAATTTCAGGGTGTCTAAGACTTCTCTCAGTCTTGCTTTGGAGAATCCTGCATTGTGATTGAGGAGCTTAGCTATTGAAAAAATTGAGTTAAGATTAATAGATTTACTTAGATTCAGCCATTTTTTCAGACCAGGTAGAGTCTGCCTGTACTCCCTGGGGAGTAAAAGAGTCCTCCATGTGAATGAAACCAGCAGAATCACGACCCAAATCAGGCAAACAAGACAGCTGAGGGCAACTGATAAGGAAATGAGAAGATAAAGGCTGATTAAACAAAGGAACACCTTCTGGGTTGTCTTACGGAGGGTAGAAGTTTTTAAATTAGGGCAGGGAAAGAAACTTGAGAGCTGGACGTCGCTGGGAAGAAGCGAAGACAAAGAAGTGGCATGTGAAGAGGTAAGGGTGCTTAGGACAGCCTGGGGGATACCTTAAGCCTTAGCAGAAGCCTCATATTATACTCTCTTAGGCAGAACAAAAGAACAACAGCAACACTTAGTGACAGGATAGGGAAGGGCAGTTAAGGGGAAGGGATGGAACAAAAGCAAACAAGTCTCAATACCACTTTGAAGAAAAATAAATTGGGAATTCAGAGTGAAAGTTGTGCTCTCCGTATACTTTTGTACTTGCTATGTTGGAGACAGCAGCCATGCAACTCACTGGGAGACACAGGGAAGTTTATAAGCTGCTCAGGAGATGAACAGAATGAAAAAGTGAAGGCTGCTAAATTAATCCAGCTATTAATTATTTTTTCCTTCAGAAGGTACAAGAGAATGGAGTTGACAGAAGAATACTGTAGACCCAGAAGCATACAATCAAAACCCGACTTGTTTGTGGCTGTGCTGAATAGTGCCTGCCGTGTTAAATGCAAATCTTAACACATTTTTTTTAGGATTATGGTTATCTGTAATTTTGACAGTTTTTTCCCTTAAGAACACAGCTATGCACACAACTTGAAATTATTTTTCATTTAAGCTGTAGAATACCACCAACACGCTTACACTGCCACATTTACGCAAAACGTTGCCCTGTGCTCGGGCAAGGAAGCACTCCTGCCAGTCCCCAGTGCTGCTATGTAGAACCGCTTGAGCAGTGTATGGACAGAAGCATCGCAAGCTTGGGAGTGTTTTTTCCCGGCTGCTTTATGAAAACGCGCTCTCACTTATTATTTATCGTTTTCATTCACGTAATACAGTACCTGTGCACGGTGGATTTCAAACTCACGATAAGACACCTGCTAACCGAAGCTTATGGCGTAATTCAGGCCAACGCGGGCGTCAGCGATGAAGCTCGGCGGACCAGGTGGCGGAGGAGCCCCTCCCCCCC